TCACTGAGTTGTATTATGGTTTATACACCCATTACCTTTCTAAAATCCTAAAACTTCTGAATTCTGATATGCCTTGGCCCCAGAGTTTTCAGATAAGGAATTAAAGACCTATATCCCAGAAAATAGAAGCTAAAGGCAGAGAGAGAGAAAATAAAAGAAAGCGATAAGAAAATTAAGAGGACCATCCAAAATATCCAGTGTCTAATAATGCAAGTTCCAGAAAGACAACATGTATAGGGTTGGAGTCATCGATAATTAAAGAAAACTTCTCGGGACTGAAGGACATTAATTTCCAACTTAAAAAAGACCACAGAATTACCAGCCAAATAGACTAAAATAAACCCACATTAAGCTTTCCATCTTTCTCCTATGTTCATCTGTTTCTTAAATTCCACGTATGAGTGAAATCGTATGGTATTTGTCTTTCTCTGACTTATTTCAGTTAGCATAATACACTCTAGTTCCATCTGTGTCATTACAAATGGTAAGATTTCATTCTTTTTCATCACTAAGTAGTATTCCATTGTGTGTATGTGTATGTGTGTGTGTACGTGTGTACACATTACATCTTTTTTATTCCTTCATTGGTCGATGGACATTTGGGCTCTTTCCATAATTTAGCTATTGTTGATAGCGCTGCTGTAAACATTGGGGTGCATGTGCCCCTTCAAATCAGTATTTTTGTGTATTTTTGGTATCCCTTGGATAAAGACCTAATAGTGCAATTGTTGGGTTATAGGGTAGTTCTATTTTTAACTTGCCGAAGAAACTCTACACTGTTTTCCAGAGTAGCTGTGCCAGTTTGCATTCCCACCAACAGTGTAAGAGGGTTCCCCTTTCCCCACAGCTTCACCAACATCTGTTGTTTCCTGAGTTATTAATTTTAGCCATTCTGACTATCTCATTGTGGTGTTGATTTGTATTTTCCTGATGATGAGCAATGTTGAGCATTTTTTCATGTGTCTGTTAGCCCCATCTGTATGTCTTCTTTGAGGAAATGTCTGTTCATGTCTTCTGCCCATGTCTTTTTTTTTTTTTAACTTTTTTTTAATGTTTATTTATTTTTGAGAGAGGCAGAGACAGAATGTGAGTGGGTTAGGGGCAGAGAGAGAGGGAGACACAACCCGAAGCAGGCTCCAGGCTCCGAGCCATCAGCACAGAGCCCAATGCAGGGCTCGAACTCACAGAGCTGTGAGATCATGACCTGAGCTGAAGTCAGATGCTTAACCGACTGAGCCACCCAGGCACCCCTCTTCTGCCCATGTCTTAACTGGATTATTTTTTGGGGTGTTAAGTTTGACAAGTTCTCTATAGATTTTTGGATACTATCCCTTTATCCAACATTCATAGGGGAAGGGAAGGAAAAAAAATAAGATAACAGAGAGGAGGCAAACCATAAGAGACTCTTAACTACAGAGAACGAACGAGGGTTGCTGCTGAGGGAGGTTGGCAGAGATGGGCTAAATGGGTGATAGCATTAAGGAGGCACCCGCTGGGACACTGGGTTTTATGTGTGGTGCCAGAATTCAATTGCTCCTACCAACCAGTACTACAATTATGCGGTAACTACAATGTGAATTTAAGTAAAAATCTTGGGAAAATAAATAAGCAGTCAATCAACAATAACCACCACAACCACAACCTACCCACCTAAAAGCATACCACATACATCATGAAATTTAGAACACCAGACACACTGGACAGGCTCCAAAGAGAGAATGGGGAGAAAGAACACCTTCGGATTTCGAACAGCACTGGAAACTACACAACAGTTGAGAGTTGCTCTCAGGAGTCAGATGCTTAACCGACTGAGCCACCCAGGCACCCCTCTTCTGCCCATGTCTTAACTGGATTATTTTTTGGGGTGTTAAGTTTGACAAGTTCTCTATAGATTTTTGGATACTATCCCTTTATCCAACATTCATAGGGGAAGGGAAGGAAAAATAAGATAACAGAGAGGGAGGCAAACCATAAGAGACTCTTAACTACAGAGAACGAACGAGGGTTGCTGGAGGGGAGGTTGGCAGGAGATGGGCTAAATGGGTGATAGGCATTAAGGAGGGCACCAGTTGGGATGAACACTGGGTTTTATGTGTAAGTTGTGAATCTCACTGGGTTCTACTCCTGAAACCAGTACTACACTATATGGTAACTAATGTGAATTTAAGTAAAATCTTGGGAAAAATAAATAAGCAGTCAATCAATCAGTCAACCAACCAGCCAACCAACCCACCCACCCACCTTAAAGCATACCACTATGAAATTTTAGAACACTAGACACACTGGACAGGCTCCAAACCAGAGAGAATGGGGAGAAAGAACACCTTCGGATTTCTGAACAGCAGCACTGGAAACTACACAACAGTTGAGAGTTGCCTTCAGAGTTCTAAAGGAATTTTTTTCAACCTCCAATTCTATACCCAGTCAAACTATCATTAAAATGGGTTGATTCAGTAGATGTTCTCAGACATGAATCAGATTCTCAAGAAATTTACTGTGCTGAATTAAGTTTTCTCTTTTCCTCTGCCTCCCTGTCAGCCTCACATAGGCAAAAATAAGAAATGAAGTCCTCTCAGAAAACAAAAGGAAAAATAAATTTTGAAGAAAATGGGTAATCCATAAATTTTATTCCTGAATTAATCAAAACCTTCCTTACTATCTTGGATTACATGTTAAGTGTTATTCCGATAGAGACTTGGGCAGTAATACTTCATCTTGTATTGCCCACAACTCTCTTCCAGGCCATACCAGCACATTTGTTCACAGTGTATAGTAAGATTTATTTCCATTGTTTCATAGAGAAGTCAGAAAATCTGTTTCGCAGTTACAAGAACTTGAAAAGTGTGAGTTCATCAAACCGAAACGTTTTTAGTTCTCATTTCTAGATTGCGGCTGTGAGATTTAAAAATCTCACTCACTCTTCGGTATAAAAAGCCCTGTGCTCCTGTGTGGTATATACAGACAGCCAGACCCCACTGGGGCAGCTGGGTTGTTTAAAGAGTAGATATGTAGACGGTAGTCCCAGGAGGGTGCCAGCAGTGCTGCTGCCAGCCCTCGCTGTGAACTCTCAGGGCATAGACTCTAGCCCCTTCTGTTTTCATCCTCTGCCCGGTGAATAAATTAGGTCAGAAAATGACCACAGAAGGGAAGAACAGAACCTTGGGAGGTTGGTTGTACAGTCAAGAGAGCTGCTCAGTAGCTAACAGTAGAAAATAAAGCAAACTGGGGCACCTGGGTGGCTCAGTCGGTGAAGCGTCCGACTTCGGCTCAGGTCACGATCTCGCGGTCCGTGAGTTCGAGCCCCGCGTCGGGCTCTGGGCTGATGGCTCAGAGCCTGGAGCCTGCTTCCGATTCTGTGTCTCCTTCTCTGTCTGTCCCTCCGCCATTCATGCTCTGTCTATCTCTGTCTCAAAAATAAATAAACGTTAAAAAATTTTTTTTTTTTTTTAAATAAAGCAAACTAATGGTGTACACTGAGGTTTTTCTCAGAGCAGTTCAGTTGTCCACTTTTCACAAAGATACAGCCTAAAAAGTGTCACTTTTTCTCTCTGATTTGTCTGTTTCAACAATTAGTAGTTGATACTGAGGTAACTTAATGTTGAGGATGTCAAATGGGAAGTATCTGGCTTAATTACATTCAATGTACATTTCCTACTCCTCTGTCCACTGTATACAGAAATCTGCTTTTCAGCCCCTTTGAGTATCAGTTTGGTAGTGTGCCTTTGCAGGTTTTCTTTCCTCTTGCCTTTACTCCCTTCGTGGGCTGACCTGCTTCTCTTCCCTCAAGATCGAGAATACGTGTCACTCTTGTATGGCTTTCCCTGTCCCTTACCCTCCTGCCTGCCTGTAGCCCCGAGGAAGTCTTGCTCCTCCAGGTGAGGGCGCTGAGAAAGAGAGTGGGGTCCACAAGTGCTCTCCCTTCTAATGAGAAGAAGAGTGCAGGTGTCGTGCTGGCCAGGATGATACTTAGTACGTGAAAGTCCGCCACCTAGTTCTCAGTTCCTGCTCTGCCACTTAATGTGTGACCTTGGGCACCTACTTAATCTATCTGTGCCTTACTTTCTGCCTCTGTCAATTGGGATAATAATAGTGCCTGCTGCATAGATTATTGTGAGGATTAGAAAAGACAGTACATGACATAGTAGTGAAGAGCATGTACTCGGGGGCCAACCTCCCTGTGTTTGAATCCCTAATCCACTGCTTAGGCGGTCTTTGTGTTTCTCAGATTCCTCATCTGAAAAGTGGGGTAAAAAAACGGCACCACCCAAAAAAATGCTTGGGTGGCTCAGTCAGTTGAGCACCTGACTTGATTTCAGCTCAGGTCATGATCCCAGGGCTGTGGGATCAAGCCCCATGAGAGAAGATTTTCTCTCTCTCTCTCTCTCTCTCTCTCTCTCTCTCTCTCTCTCTCCCCCCCTTCCTCTCCCTCCCTCCCTCCCCTCCCCCCCCCCACTTGCACTCTTCCAGTCTCTCTCTCAAATTAAAAAAAAAAAAAAAGGACCTCCTACATTCTCATGTTTACAAAAATGCCATGTTAGGGTTGTTGCAAGCATTGCATGAATTAAAATACATAAAATGTAGGCCAGTGTCTGGCAAATAGTAAACACTATGTAAGTATTAACTATTGTTAAAAGGCTTACGGAAGAGTCTATCCTATAGTATGCACTCAAGAAATAGTTGCTATTTAACAAGGAGTTCCCATTTTTCAACAAAGTTCTGTAAGTGGAAAGCAGATTTAACGAGAAGAAAGCAAATTAAAGCCACCATATAATGCCACTGCCTTCCACCAGGATAGTTACAATGAAAAGGGCGATACTAAGCACAACTAGAATTTTTGCAGCTATCCACAGTTAGTATAAGTTAGTACAGCCACTTGGGAAAACGTGTGTTAAGGCTGAATTTACACGTGTCCTTAACCCAGCAAATCCTGGATGCATATGCACCCAACAGAAATGGCTGTTTGTGCGCACCAAAAGACAAGAATGTCGCAAGAATATTCATAGGAACATTATCCTTAATAGCCAAAAACTGGAAGCAGCTCGAATAAGTCCTGTATGTTTATAAAATAGATGAATAGATGAATTACAATAATGTGTGTATGTGTATTACACAGAATAAACGAAGGCAAACAAAAGAGTACATGCTGTGTAGTTCCTTTTCTTTCTTCCTTCTTTTCTTTCTTTTCTTTTCTCTTCTTTTGTCTTTTCTTTTGTCTTTTCCTTTCCTTTCCTTTCCTTTCCTTTCCTTTCCTTTCCTTTCCTTTCCTTTCCTCTTTTTTTCTTTTCTTTCCTTTCCTCTTTTCTTTTTCCTTTCCTTTCCTTTCCTTTCCTTTCCTTTCCTTTCCTTTCTTTTCCTTTCCTTTCCCTTCCTTTCCTCTCCTCTTTTTTTTTTCTTTCGTTTTCTTTTCTTTTTTTTTTATTTTTTTTAAATTTTTTTTTTCAACGTTTTTTTTTTATTTATTTTTTTTGGGACAGAGAGAGACAGAGCATGAACGGGGGAGGGGCAGAGAGAGAGGGAGACACAGAATCGGAAACAGGCTCCAGGCTCTGAGCCATCAGCCCAGAGCCTGACGCGGGGCTCGAACTCACGGACCGCGAGATCGTGACCTGGCTGAAGTCGGACGCTTAACCGACTGCGCCACCCAGGCGCCCCCGTTTTCTTTTCTTTCTTATCTTTCACAGCCAAACTAATCTATGGAGTTAGAAGTCAGGGCAGTGAGTCCCTTCACAAGGGGACAGTGACTGGAATGCTCCTGGTGTTCTGTTGGCTTGATCTGGTTTGATGGTTACATGGGTGTATATTCTTTGTGAAATTTCATTCATGCTTATGATTTGTGCATTTGTATCTATGTATGTTAAACTTCAGTTTTAAAATTTATATTAAATCAGAAGACTTAAGAATTTTGGAAATGTTAATTTCTCAACTTGCCAAATGTCCCTGAAATTAAAGACTTTATATTTTTTTAAAATGTGGATATGAGGGGCGCCTGGGTGGCGCAGTCGGTTAAGCGTCCGGCTTCAGCCAGGTCACGATCTCGCGGTCCGTTGAGTTCGAGCCCCGCGTCAGGCTCTGGGCTGATGGCTCGGAGCCTGGAGCCTGTTACCGATTCTGTGTCTCCCTCTCTCTCTGCCCCTCCCCCATTCATGCTCTGTCTCTCTCTGTCCCAAAAATAAATAAAAAACGTTGAAAAGAAAAAAAAAATTTAAAATGTGGATATGAACTGCAAGGCCAGAAAATTATCCAGTCTGACCTCTAATCTTCTTCTTAAATTGTGTCTTCAAGGCTGTAAAAACTTTAAGTAACAAATAAATACCTTGGGCAACATACTTTGAAATAATCATTCATTTTCATTTCGTCTGCCACCTCACATATATATTACAGATTACCTGGATTACATGTAGATGTTATATATAAAACTTTGGTTTGGAGCTAGAGTCCATCTTTTCAGCTTTTATCAAAGTGAAACACTGACACCCTGCAGATAAGATCTGGTGGTTTTAAAGTTTGATTGAAGGGGCACCAGGGTGTCTCAGTCGGTTAAGCATCCAACTTCAGCTCAGGTCACGATCTCGCAGTACGTGAGCTCAAGCCCCATGTCGGGCTCTGTGCTGACGCTCAGAGCCTGGAGCCTGCTTTGGATTCTGTGTCTCCCTCTCTGTCTGCCCTTCCCCCACTCGTGCTTTGTCTCTCTCGCTCTCTCAAAAATAAATAAACATTAAAAAAAGTTTTAAGTTTGATTGAAGACATAGTTTTATGGGCTCCAGCTGTGAGATGTAAGAGGCAAGTCTGAAGGTGCTTGAATGAGCATTAGTCGTAATTGATGCTCATGCTTATTGCTTTGGTGTCTGTGATGCCGTTTTAGCAACTTAGTGAATTTCATCTTTGAAATGGAATTTGTTTTGTTTAGTCTGCATTGTGCCCAGATTGGTGATTGAAAACCTTACACTTTCGCAGAACATTGCTTCATGGCTCTTCCCTTTTCTGCTATTTTTATATCACATGAATCATTGCACATTTAAGCCATCTGCAAGGCCTGAATGGAATGAGATAAAAGCTGCCATCACTTAGATTGACAGTCGAAAAGCTGGCATTTATTCCACGTTTATTCCTGATTATCTTTTATATTTTAAAGTCTCGAACTTCATTTCAAGTTGGTTGGTAATGTCTCTGAGCCAAAAGTATCTGTGATTCACAGTTTCTTTTACTTGAACATTGGGTCAAAGGGAGGGGATCTGTTCTGCGTCACTCAGAAGAATCTGTTAGGGACTCAGTTGTAACTCACTTGAGATAATAAGAACAGCGAGTTCCACTCTTGTTTTAAAAGTATGTTGGTTTCATCAGCGCAGCGAGCCCTCCAGTTTGGCAGGCACTTCATAGGGAATAGTAAAAACACAAGGTTCCTAAATTGCCAGATGAATACTTCAGAATAAATGTGTTTTGAATACCTAGAATGTATCACACCCGTTAGATAATGGTCAAAAGTATTTCTCAGCATAGCCACTTTTTCAAGGATTTATCGGGGGAAAAATGTCTGGGGTGTTGCTTTAAAAGAGATTGAGGATTAAAAGTGCACACCACGCTTGTACACACTGACCTGGCGCTTACCCGCGTCTAGTAGGTTACGCAGGGCCCGCAAAGCCTGTCCCGGCAGATTTTGTATAGTGGGGCTTTGCTCTGGGCTGCAGGAGCTTGGGGTCCCTGTGCTGACGTCAGCTGGAATCACATGGATTAGGAGGAGCGTGTGGATTAGGTTCCTTCAGGTTGAAACCAAATGCCCACTGTCATTAGGTGTCTCCTCTTTGTGAATATTATGATACTTTGGTGACCCGGTAGTCATAAACTCTGGAACTCATAGAGGGAACGAAACATGAAAATACTCCCCTATTTCCTGAAATGATAGACCAAAACGCAGTGATCACCTCAGCTAAGTATAATAGACTCTTCATTTTCAAAATGGAAAGATTTCAGACATGGAAAACTCTACTAAGAATCGAAGACTAATGGTACGGTTTTTATGTCTTTCCTACCTAATGGATCTCCATGTGATCTTGGGCATTAGTATTTAGTATTTCTGTTTAGCATTTTGGTTTTCTCCCATTTCACTAATGTACTGTAAATACTCAAAAGACCTAAATTTTCTTTGTAAACTATAGCAGTTTGAACACAGGTAACATTTTGATTTGGTTTTTTTCCCCTCTGAAGGGACAACTTGTAATTTTTGCTTAAAGATTGTTTGAGAACAACCGGGGCTGGGAATGTTCGTTATTTTACACAATTCTTGCGAAGTAATCGTATTTCTTTTCCACTCAACGTTGTCTGTTTCTTTGCTTAGCAGACAGAAGGGGGCGCACAGACAGACGGCCAGCAGTCACAGACACAAAGTAGTGAGAACTCAGAGAGCAAATCTACCCCGAAACGGCTGCATGTCTCTAATATTCCCTTCCGCTTCCGGGACCCTGACCTCCGACAGATGTTTGGGGTAAGTCTCTGAAGTCCCTTTGTGGGTTTAGCAATGACAATTTAATGTGATCCGCCAGGCGTGTTATAAGTCATCAGGACCTTAGGATAAGACTGCAGACAGATTGAGGTAAATCAGTGTTTCCATCAGTCTTCAGGAACTTCCGTCACCTAGTGCCATCACTCCTGTCATCCTAGACAATGGCTGTGCAGGTTCTCACATACACAAGGCGACCATGCAACCCGGTTTGCCTGGGACCAAGGGGTTTTGTGGGACATGAGCCATTCAGTATTAAAATCAGGAAAGAGACAGGAATCCTTACCTTTCAGAGTGTTACGAGCTCAACGACTTAATGTTTGGGAAGCAGAAAGTACCTATGTTTTGCTTTTACTTCCTTGCTCATAACTCAACAGCATCAAGACCAATGTCTAAAAATCAGGAGTAGGGGGTTAGTTTGCTCCCTCTGACGTGTTCTTCCAGCCACTCGCTTCCTCCCGGAATCGCCATCATGAAGACAAAGTAGAATAGCAAAGATTTCAGTTGTTGGAAAGTGAATGGCTGCTGGAAATCTTCGGGTTTTTTCTGGGCTCATGTGTTGTTGCCTGCTTTAATTCGAGCAGGCTCTTAACTTGACATAGGAGTGAGAGATCATGGTTTAAAAAAAACCTTTGCTGTTGTAGCTGCACGGTGCTTTGGCAGAAAAGCAGGTGCCCCGCTTGAAGTCTCGGCTGTGGCCTCTTCGTGGTGACAAGACCCTGGAGCACAGTTTTGTCACTGACTGCTGAGTACCTGGAGTATTTTCTACACCGAAGCCAAGGCCAGCGTTGAGATTTAATAACGTTCTTGAAGTACTTGACGAACCTTTTTAGAGAAAATGGTAGCCAGCTGTTCATCTCCACAGAAAAGAGAGCAACAGATACCATAAAGGGCAGCGTAAAGAATTTAGGTTATATTTAAGAGGAAGTTTCCCAGGAGTATGAGTTCTCTAGTGGACTCTACTGAAGGTTCTCTACTGAACAGAAATAATACGGAATCCTAGTCTCTGGAGATCGGTGAAAATGGAGTATATTCTCATGTGCTGCAAGCGTGTTTTCTCTGGAGTCAGAAAAATTGTATGCGTTAAAGGGCTGCCTAGGCCGGTTATCAGTGATTTCTTGAGATGTGTTATCCTATACGGCTGCTAGGTGCACGCACAAAAACTTCTCCTTGCAAGGGACACCTGCTAGGGTTGCTCGGTCTTCCCCTGCCTGGTTAACAGCTCTGTCTCGGGAGGACAGCACTGGTGAAGAGCAGGGACTCCATGCTCCATTTTCTTAGCTCTGCAGACTTGACGAATGGCTTCCCTCAGCCTTGTTTTCCTTAACCATTAAAGGAAGGCAGCCCTCGCCAGCAGGATGATATAAGGACGCATTAGAAAATGTGAAAGGAAGCAAACTCTAAAACACCACTCAAATCTTAGTTTTTTGGATAGTCCTAGAAGTAAAATTAAATACCCTCCTACCCAAAATAAGACAGTTTCCTCTTTCCTTTATTTCCCTAATGTTCTATTAAGCGATGAAACTGGAATCGAGCCCAGAAGTCTTACTCTAGAAAACTTGGGCTCTTAGTACATGTTTTCTGATACAGATAGTACTGCTTCAACCCAGTAAGAAAGCATTTGTTTCGCTCTTTTCATTTTTTTCACACTTCCCAAAGTCTGATTCAAACTCCAGGCAATACTGGGTGCCTGGGTGGCTCTGTAGGTTAAGCCTCTGACTTCAGATCAGGTCATGATCTCATGGTCTATGAGTTTGAGCCCCGCCTCGGGTTCTCTGCTGTCAGCACAGAGCATGTTTCAGATCTTCCGTCTTCTCTCCCTCCGTCTCCCTCTCACGCATGTACATACACTCTCTCTTTCTCCTTTTCCAAATAAACATTTTAAAATACGTATATTAACATCCAGGCGACATAGATAATTGGGGTCTAGGAGTCCAGTATTCAGAGGGAGGTGTGACCGAAAAGATACCTGGAGATTTACTGCACATCTCTCCCATCAGTTCATCCGAGTATTGACTACAACAGGTAGTCTTGTCAGCTGCATACTCTCCTCCACATAACGTCTGTGTTTTACGTATGCTCCCCTCCAGTCCCATTTAGGTAGCTAAACAGGTCTTTAGGCTTTGTGTTTTTAGTTTTGTTTCATTTCCCAAATGTTAAAATGTTTAAGGACCAAACAAAGCTATTACTTAAAATGCACTTGATAATGTTCATTGCCAAAATATTAAAATGGCAAATAAATGAAATCTGGTATAATGCCCACGAATGTTTAAGTACAATAGAAAACAGCGTGTAGTCTGTAGAAATGAGAACATAGGTACATATTTATTGGCTTGGACAACTGTTCATAGCATATTAACTTAAAAAATAAAAGTAATACGTGGAAACATTTCCTTAACAATATATGCCTGAGGAAAATCTGGGAAGGCTGTATACCAGCACGGTAAGATGGCAGGTTTACAGAGGGTCTGCATTTTGCTTTTCCTATTTTCCTTTTTATTTATCTGTACTTTCTGACCTTTTTTTTTTCTTATAGTGAACATGGTTTGCTTTTATAAATTAAAAAAAAAAATAGAAGAAAAATAGCCTTCAATAGTATATCTTTTTACTTAGGATTTGCTTCTTAAAAACCAGGACATTTCGAAAAATTAAAGACGCAGTAGTTACGAAAACCCCTAGTTCTTATCCTTGGAGAAGCATGTAATAGGGTAACACTGTGCATATCTTCTGGAAACAGCTTCTGCCATACAGAGGTGGATAATGCATGAGTGGGTGGCCTGAATAAAGAGTGGGAAAGGAGACATCAGCTCAGTGATAAGGAAAAATCAGAACCCAGTATTGGGACCTACCAACAAATAGAAAGTAACATGGAAGTCATATAAGAAGTGAAAAGAAAAAGAAAAAAAAGATTCCTTTTTCAGGAGAAAATACAGTGTGTGGGTAAAAAGCTGACCGTGAATAAATGTTTTTATTTTTGTCTCTGCAGCAGTTTGGCAAAATCCTAGATGTAGAAATAATCTTTAATGAACGTGGTTCTAAGGTAAGCTCCCTCTCCGCATTAAGTGTGCTTGGTTCCTTTGTAGTTTTGTTTTAAATAGTAAGTAACCAGAAAACTAAAGCTGTTTCTCAAGCCTACAGAAAGTATCCCAAGTTATCTGGCTTGGATTAGATTATCTCTAAAAATAAGCTACCACATGGCCAAACTTTATTCTAGTACTTCCTCTGGGGGAGTGAGGGGGGAGAGGAAGAGAAGTGTGGGGAGGAGGGCAGCGGTGAGGAGGGTTGGGGTAGGAGACACCAGCCCTTTATCAGACTGAAATTGCCCTAACCTGCTTATTTTTAAGGAAGAGAAAGAACACTCAAGTGAAATTCTGTATGAGAATTCTAGTGTGCATTCTACCAGAACAACCAGCTTTCAAAAATCAGACTTCGAAATGACAGACTTAGGACAAATGTGATATTTCAGCCATTTGGTTGGCTTTCTCTCTCTTTGGAATAAATTTGACAAGGCGTAAATATAGGGAGTAGTGACTCAGAAATTCGTGGTAAGCTGATTTCCCCCTTTGAGTTCTACCCAGATAGGCAAACTTTGGGATGTAGAACCCCCTTAGTGACAAATATAGTAAGTTCAGTTTTTTGCATAAGGATGACGTTAGTAACAGTGCACCATTCGATATAGGTACTCTAAATGTGTTCTGTAGGAGAACTGAACATTGTAATACAAACTTGTTTCCCCCTCGTCATTTATTTACCATTTTAAATTACCCAATCTATATGATGTAGAATTTCCATGCACTAAAATAAGCAGCAGTGATTTTAGGAATGAGGGAATGATGAAGTCTTACAGTGGTGTTGTGAAAAAATGTTTAATGAACTGAATTTCAGAAAGTTTCATTTGACAGTTTTCTTCCTCCTCAACAAGTGAAATGCACCCCACAGGCACAACCAGCTGCGACCAAGCTTGTGAATATTTACGTTGCTATGTTCACTTCTACTTGCATTTTTAGGATAGAACAATCTTTGAGTTAATTTTTCATTTGTTTATCTCTTCCTGAACTTTGAAAATAGCCCTTGGCTATCTATGGTTTTATCTCAAAGAATGTAACTTAAGTAAAGTTAAATAAAGCAAATAAATGAGTTAATATTTACCTCTTCAATTTCCTACTCCAAATCCACCATACCTTGGGAATTAATAGCGTATATCTGCAGAGTCATATATATACCTCTGCCCATCTAAACGAACACCAATGTATATACTGTTCTAATGCTCCTGATTATTATTCCCTGTATAGAACGCATCGACACTGGTAGTGTTTAATTCTGACTCTAATTATTGTTAATCATTAAAGAGGTAATTATACTCTAAGCTTCCAGTTTTCAGTTAAAACAAAAAAGATTAATATGCCTATGCAGAACTTTCTCCAGCACTTGGTAAGTATTTTCAAAGTGAAATCTGTTCAACCTATAGCCAGTAAAAAACTGTTGATGCTTGTAATTTCTTCACAGTGGATTTCTATTCCTTTGTTGTATAGTTTGCTTGTATTTTTTGTGACCTTTTTAGATACAGGGTGGAAAAATGACAGTGGTTCAAATATATATCATAAGTCCGTGAAGATTATATGCCACGCTGCTTACCCAAAGTCGTAGTTTAAATGTTTGTAGTTTTAAGTGTATGCACTTAAACTGTTTCTAACTAGACTCCAACAACCCGAAGCCCAATATGATTTCATCAGGTATTGGGAACTTGCTCCTTACCAAGAAAATAATTTGATTGAATTCTTGTGAAGCAAAGGAAATTGATCTTTCTTAAGGCTTCTTTCATTGACTTCAAAGATTTGCCTACTACCCAAAATTGTTTAATTTACCCAATTCAATTGCTTCTCCCCTGTAATTTTCATTTTTAAAGGACACAAGCCTTCCTTTCTCTTTGGGGAATCTAAAAGCCTTCTCTCCGTTTGATGCTGTGTCCTCACTGCCCCTTTTTCTTTGGGCTGCTGAAGAGTAGACAGTGTACTTAATTGGTAATTGTTCTTAAAGCACAGAATGCCCAACGGCCTGGGTCTGCCTTTAAGGACACTTACAAAACCTGTCTTCATCCTTTGCCCGACTTCTTAGCTGTCACCTAAAGTTCTTTGCTGCAGTAGGTTCCCCAGAACTGTTCAGAAACTTGTTAACAGATTTATTTTGGAGTCAAAACCTAGGTACCTCTTCTGGGTCCACCTGACATAAATTAATGAGTACTTTTCTTTCTGTAAATAAAGTTTATTTTCTCATTTCCTTTTTGTTTGTGGTTGACTATAAAATTACAACATGCCGTGAAAGGAACCGGAGATAAGGAGATTTAAGTGGTCCTATTGTGCAGTTAAGAGTTGCTCAGTCTTTTTACGAGTGCTTTTCTGTACACAAATGAGCTTTATTAAATTTTTTTTTTTTGAAGCAGTAAGGGAAAAACGAGTCACAAAATAATTCTGAGATAAGCGATACTTACATGTAAAACAGTTATCGGTGGAACAATTAAATAACCACAGGCCTCCAAAACAAAAAGCAACTCTTTACCCTATCTTCTTCTCTATAATGAGACTGTCAGCCTACGGTTTGAGAACATACCCATTTCCAGACATCAGTGAGCACTGCCGCGTTGCCTTGCCCATCCCCTCCCTGCCTTGTCAACATCCTACGTCTTCAGCTTGCCTGCAAACATGATTTCTTCGTTGTTGAGTATTTTCCTTTTTTCTTCTTCGACCTTCATATTCTGGATTGGTTTGCCTAGATTATGGAATGAACGTGTGTCGCTTACATTCGTACACGTACAGAAATATATGCATACATTATTTCACGTGATTTAAAAAAAATACATTTGTTAACTCCGTACTCCTTTGTAAATGCATAAAGTCAGCCGTATGTAATTTTCTGTGATTAACTGAAACAAAGGGGACTCTCCTTTGAAACCGTTCAATTAGGGTGTATGGTAAAAATGCTACCCCTGCCCCAAAAATGAACACACTCAACTAGAATCTACAAAATGATTATACTGCTATGTATAACATTGTTGATTCTCCACATGTCACCAGTCATAACAAAGTATTACTTTGACAAACAGTAGAAACACGATATATTGGTAGAGTGGCCAGAGTTCTGGCTTATCTAGGATAGTCCCAGTCTATACTTGTTGTCTTCGTGTAATTATTACTAGTGTCCCCTTTCTCCCTCAGAGTGTTCCAGTTTGAACAACAAATCGTATTGCCCCTCCCCATATAGATTCTTCGAGTAACAGCTTTTAAAAAGCTCCCTTTTCAAAACCGTTATGAAGGAAAAACATGATTTTTAGTGACTAGACGAGAACAGACATAAATCATTAAGAGAGCATGGTGCTCACTACTATTCTCATGCCTTTTTTCTCACTCAATCTTAGAACTCTAAAGAATGCATTGCATTCTTTAACCTGACGTTAAAATCCAGCGTTCTCTGCTGGATACTTTCAGTGACTGAGAACGTGTTGGTTTTCAAAAAAAATTGTTTTACGTTTTTATTTAAAGTACAGGTAGTTAGCACATAGTGTAATATTAGTGTCGGGTGTACAATACAGTGATTCAGCACTTCCACGGGTGTTCGTCACGACAGGTGCGCTCCTTAATCCCTGTCACCTGTTTCTCCCACCGCCCCCCTCCCCTGTGATAGCCATCACTTTGTTCTTGATAGTTAAGAATCTCTTTCTTGATTTGTCTCTCTCTCTCCTTTTTTCCCTTTGCTCCTTTGTTTCTCAAACTCCACATATGAGTGAGATCATATGGTATTTGTCTTTCTCTGACTTACTCAGACTTCCCACCATTCTGTTCGCTATCACCCAGCCCCGTAACAGTCTGTGATAATTACCAGGCTTATTAAGTAAAGAAATACACACATTCTAAAATTTTTTTTTAATGTTTTTATTTATTTTTGAGACAGAGACAGAGCATGAGCAGGGGAGGGGCAGAGAGAGAGGGAGACACAGAATCGGAAGCAGGCTCCAGGCTCTGAGCGGTCAGCACAGAGCCCAACACGGGGCTTGAACTCACGGACTGTGAGATCATGACCTGAGCTGACGTCGGACGCCTAACTGACTGAACCACCCAGGCGCCCCAGAAATACACACATTCTAATGTTTATACTTTCCATAAAGTTTGGTCGGCATACTTTTGGTATAGTTGTGGCTTGAAGGGCCATGTGTCGAAACTGCTAAACGTAGGAGCTCTTTACTTGTACAAACAGTGCCAATTATTAAGTTCACTAAAGGACACAAAATAGAGCGCAGCGACAATTACTGAGATTTCCAGCAAGTTTTTAGCTAACGTGTTCTCATTACTTCTCTCAGGTGGATTTCTGGAATGATGGGATCTTGATTTGGGTTAGGCTTCGGTTTAGGCTGGAGTCAGGGAAGATAAAACCTCTAATCCCATCCCCAGACACAAGTAACGTGCTGTAATTTCTTGCCTGTTTCCCTGGATTTTAATTTCATGCAAAGGGAAATTATTCATTTCTTTCAAAATATGATCAAAAGACTGTCTTTGAAATTGTACTAACTAGGCCTTTGCTTTTCAGTAAAATTTGATAGGCGAAATGGTTTTCATTATACTTAAAACTGAGTTAACAGTGCATGTATTTCCAAAGGGCTTAGTTTGTTTTCTTTTGTTACCATCTTATGGGTTTTAGTTTTATTTTTCTTTCATTTATTTTTTTTAACTTCTGTGTTCTGGCCATACCCAGGAGAACGTCTGCTTTTGATTTCTCCCTTAAAACTTACATGGTAAATTTTTCTTTCTCATTCTTCTGAGATGGAAAAACTCAAAGACTATCCACATTTAAGAATATTTTGACAGTGCTCGTCCTGTGGCTTGTTATTTATTGCAGCCTGAGGCCAGGCTAAAAAGGTGGCAGTTACTCGGCTCCTGTCGGCCCTTGATGATAAGTGGGCGTGATAAGTGTTTGTCACGCTCAGCAGAAGTTTTGACCACAGGCCTCCCTCCCGAGAAACACACCATTCCTCAGTTTTCAAAAGACAGCTAAGATAGCTGGTAAATCACTAATAGAACACTGATATATTTAAATTATTAACACAGAAAAACTTTGGGAAGTGAGAGGTGTAGGTTATACAGGATAGAGCGTAGAGACCTGCGTCGTCCAGCAGAAGTGGCCAGACTGTGCGCTTGGAACATGGCGTCTAAATTCAGATCTGCTTTTAGTGTAGAATACACACTGCTCTCAAAGACTGACCAGAAAAAAAGGAATATTGAACATCTCCCTGATGTTTTTGTATTGATGTCATGTCGAAATGATAGCATGTTGCATATATGTTATCTTGAATAAAAATACGTTACTGAAATTGCTTTCATATTTTTTTTTTTTACTTTTTTAACGTGCCTAGGGGAATATTTAGAATTACATATTGACTTGGGTTATATTTCTCTCTGATAGCACTGGTATAGACAAACATGTCGACATCATTTTTTTTTTTTTTAATTAAAAACAGAAGTCTACTAAAAGTTTACTTTTTGTTTATCTGGTTTCTGTCTTCTTAAACCTGAAGTATTCACTCTTGTGAAGAATTTGAGATTAAATCTCAGTTCTACTTTGTGGCTCTTCTGACTGGTCATTATGTGTTCCTGATTGATACATTATATAATCATTTTGAAGCTCTTCTAAGGAAGAAGTGTTAGGTTTAGACATAATTTTATTAAGTTTTTTCTTTTCAAAGCAAGAGACCCAAGACTTAATGTGAATTAGATTTCCGAGAATGAAGGGACATTAAAACATAATTTCATTTAAGCATATTTTCCTGTTAGTAATTTTGTAAGCCTGGATAATCTGTGAATATCTTTAGCTCAATTCCTGGCACATTTTCAAAACTGAAATTTTACTGAAGGAATGGTACGTTAAATTTTTTTTCTCAAGCAGGGTGCCTGGATGGTTCAGTCAGTTAAACGTCCGACTTCGGCTCAGGTCATGATCTCACAGTTCGTGGGTTCGATCCCCATGTCACGCTCTGTGCTGACAGCACAGAGCCCATTTCTGATCCTCTGTCCCCTCTCTCTCCGCGCCTCCCCGGCTCATGGTCTTCTCAAGACTAAATAAACTTCTGAAAAGTTTTTTTCAAGCTTTGAGTTAACATCTTTGAAACCAAATTGTAGTTAAGTTGATGGAAAATCACCTCTCTAAAGTATTAAAGAACAGTGCTCTAAAAATACTGTTTATACTTCTTACCTCCCTAATCACGGACTTCTGACATGTATATTTCCTATTGCTTCTGAACAAAGTATCACAAAGTCTGTGACTTAAAAACACAGACATGTATTATCTTACGGTTCTGGAGGTCAAGGTGTTACAGGGCTGCATTCTTTCGGGCAGCTCTAAGGAATAATCCACTCCTTGCCTTTCCCAGCTTCTGGAGGCGACCCGCATTCCTTGACCTATAGCCCCACTTCGATCTTCAAAGCCAAAAATGGCCAGTCCAGTCTTTCTCAGGCTGCTACACTCTGTCTGATTCTGGCCCCCATCTTCCCCTCTTTAATTTAGAAGCACCCATTTAATTTAATTTAGTGATTACATTGGGCTCACCTGAATAATCCAGGATAATCTCCCTATCTCAAGATCATTAATTGAATCACATCTGCAAAATCCCTTTTGCCAGGTAAGGTAGTAACATTCACAGGTTCCAGGGATTAGGGCGTGGACAACTTTGGGGGGGGCCATTATTCTGCCTGCCACAAAGCCTGTTTATCTACAAAGGAAAGAAAGAAATCTTACCTCTGCTTCGTATCAGGAAGTCCCAAAGTATCAGCAAGACCTTCCTCCTCCTTTAGTCTAGGCAAAGATGCGTGTGAAGATTGCTTTATTTTTACATTTTTGGCATCTAGATGAGCATTTCCTTTGGAATATAAGCACTTTTCTTTATAAGACATTTGAAAGTGAAATTTTGTTCCAGAATATTAAAGTCCTTATTGAGAAAATCTTAACACAAGCAGACTTTGATGTTAAACGTTGTCATTTGCTGGCTGTAAAACGTCCGTGCTCGTGACACCACCGTGCGTTCTTGTGGATGTTATTACATCACAGGTGTCCCATCGACACAATACAGAGAGGAGGATCACAGAACACATTTAGCAATTAGATTTGAGAAAGGAAACTACAAGGATTTTAAGACTCGGGTCGTTTAGTTAATAGGATACTGAACTTTGGTTTCAAAGCTTAATTTCTCCTTTTCTTCCCATTAGCTGTAGGAAGAAGGCCTTGTTGATGCTTGGGTAACTTAACACGGTTTGACGGGCTTTCTTTATGTTAAAAGTAAAACCAACAGATTGGTCCTTTCTACCCCCTGGTTGTATTTAAAAGACAAGTCTGTGAGTGTGTGGGTGTGTAGATGCAGTCATAATGCTAACACTAAAAACCTAGGTAGTAGTCTCCACATCATCTGTTATCCGGCTACTAGGGTATAATTTATTAACTTAACCCAAGGCATATAATGTTTGAGACTCTGAGGATCCATTGGAATACAGTTTTAATACTACTGCAGTGTGATAGAAAACCTCCTCACTGTGACCTTTCTTGCAAGGTTTTTTTTTCTGTTGGAGGACTCTCCAGGATTGGAGAGCTGGCTTCCTGTGTTCAGCAGATGCCAGTGTGATGACAAACCGTGCTGTCACTTAGGAACTTGAGATCCAACACGACACCTCCAGTTGTTGATGTGGCTATAACACATTTGTATCAAAATGTGTTTCTGAAAATGTGTTTCCATTGATATTTTCAGCATACTTACATCTTTAAGGAGAGTATTAATTAACCCCATAGTACCTCGGTACATAGAACGTTTTCTGTCAGCTCAGCTTTGCATTTTCTAGAGTATTTGTGGTGATATCCAAATTACAGGCAGAGATAATCCACTGGGATCCTCCGTGGATCGCCACCCAACCATATAATCAGAACGCAAAGTAATCAGAGCCTTCAAAATGACGGGAGTTGCTTTTGTGAAATCTTTTTTTTTTTTTTTTTTTTTAATTTTTTGACGTATTTGTTTATTTTGAGAGAGAACAAGCCGGGGAAGAGCAGAGAGGGAGAGAGAACCCAAGCAGGCTCTGCATCATCCACGCAGAACCCGACACAGGGCTCAGTCCCATGAACTGCAAGATGGTGACTTGAGCGTAAATCAAGAGGCAGACACTTAACTGACTGAGCCACCCGGTGCCCCTGCTTTCGTAAAAATCTTACAGAACAATGCATACCATTTGCCATCCCAGATAAGAACCTGTTTTATATGTATATGGAAATGCTCATCATGGAGAACAGCAGAGCTTCAGTAAAAATAAATAACAAATGAAGGGTTCCGGTTGTCCTACCGTGGAATGTTCAAAGAATGCCAGAGGGACAGTGAAGCTATTGAAAAATTAGCACTTTCCCAAAAAATCCTAAGAATTTACTACTCACAGATGTAAATAGCTTGAGAGAAGGTGATAGTTACAGAGTGGAAAGATAAGGACAAAGTGCCTAGGAGGCAATGGATACAGTGCTTGATGAGAAAGTCACGTAAGTATATAGTGAATCCTGGTGATTTTGACGGAGAATTTTCAGATAAATGTGAACATAGGAGTAAGTGGGTTGACCCCCTGGCTCCTGGTTTGTCTACTTAATGAAGAAAAGCTCCATATAATTTATTTGTGTACAGTGCACAAATAAATTAATTCTAACTCTGAGCAGCAGCTGCATTGCTGTTTTATGGTATTCTTTTCGTGGCGAATAGTGTACAACTGATGTCACTAACCTAGATCTCATTCCCACTGCCTTTTGATGATTCCTTTTTTCCCCTCTATACGGAAAATCACTAATACATTCAGTAGCAGATGTCAGCTTCAACAAATGTATAATTTAGGCAGATTTGGATAAGCTCTTTTCTGGAACTCAGCTGAACCTATTTTTACTCTGAGTGCCAGTCATAATTGACTGCCCCCTGCTTAGTGATATTTTCATTAGCTTAGATGAACACAGGTGCTCTCGTCTTCCACACCCAGTACCTCTACAGAATTGTAGACCAAGACTGTTTTTTTCAATTATTCTGTCCCCAGAGGAATTGTGGTGATACAAGCAATAGGCAAAGTGGGGCTAGAATGATGAGCTCTCCAAAAAAAAAAAATCTCTTTATACAGCGAATGCCCCTAAATATAAGGTTTCATGGAGAAGCTGCTGGGGAATGGCAGACTTAATTATGTGATTTTGTTTTTAGTATTACGTAAAGGGACGTGTGTATTAACAGCATGAATTGAAAGAGAAAGAACACTTAAAAAAAAAAAAAAAAAGTTCAGATTCTTGGTGAAATGGTTTGACCCGAGTAACTCTAAACCTTAATTTTGGTCTGGCCTCACATGCTTTATGTTTTACTTTATTATTGTTACTGTTGTTAATTACATTATCATTATTATTGTTGTTGCCATTATTATTACTGTTGTTATTACTACTACTACTGCTACAGTTCTTTATTCTTTTATTGGATTTAATTTCCCTTCACAAAATATGCATGGGCCAAAAATGTGACTAGTACTGCCAATGTGGGTTTCATACTGTGATATTTTTTCTCTGTTTACCAAGAGATCAGTATTTCAATATAACGATACGCATGTTTTCCCCCCTTCTCCCGCTGCATGCAGGGATTCGGGTTCGTAACTTTCGAGAATAGTGCTGATGCAGACAGGGCCAGGGAGAAATTACACGGCACCGTGGTAGAGGGCCGTAAAATCGAGGTGCATGTCTTCAATAATTCAATTTCCGGTTTATATTTTTATTTCTCTCTTTCGTGTGCTGCCCCCCTTATTTCACATTCGGAACCCTGTCTCGTTGTCTGTGTGTCTGCACACACGTGTGTGTGTGTACGTGTCTCTCTGTCCTTCACCTTCTTGCACTAAAATGTGTACAAATAACCCTCCTACCCTCCTTCCCTCAGTTTTCAGTTGTGCGGGGGTTTTCATTTTGATTTACTTGTGTGTGTGTCTATGTGTATTTGTTTTTCATTTACTTTTTTCCTCCGAAATGTTCATCCTTCTGCTCTCTTGATTTTTTTCCTTTGCTTCAGTTTGCGAGACTCCATGTGAATACCTGTGATCAGGCCAAAACGAAACTAACTTTGTAAATGTCTAAAAACAATCCAGCTTACGACATTGTGTCCTGTATTGAATCAAAGATCCAGCCAGTATCCCCTTGTCAGGAGGCCAGTTCGCCTCCATGTGCGTGTGATAAGGAATTTAGAAGACCTTAGAGGGTTGTGGGGGCGGGGGAGAAAGAACCCAAATCTCATGGGGTTTTTGAATATATTTAATGTCAAGAATGTCAACCGTGAATGGATAAAATCCTCCGACCGAGGCTTTGACGGCTGCCTGGCGAACGTGCTGTTCCGTGTTCGCATCAGCCACCTGGTGTTCACCAGCCCTTTTGAACAACGCAGTGAAGGTTAACTGGCCCCTTTCCCCTTGCCCAGTTTTTTAAAGTATTGAAATATAAAAGCCACCATTTTGAGTAAGATGTCTGCATATTTTGCTTTCTCCCTCCCTTTCCAATGGTTTAGCATTTAGGGCCCTTCACTTGACTCCCTCTTTCCATGGTAACTATACACAATGCTGGCGATGGTGCCCGTGGGCGGTAAGTGAAACAAAGCACTAGAGAAGAAGCTTTTTAAATTGTTAATTACAAAACAATTAAATAAGAAAGAAAAAGTCCATCTGCCATCTCACATTAACACTACAAAATGTGATTTGACTTGTTCCTCTCCCTTTTCCTTTCCCCTTTTTATTTTCAATGCTGTTGAGTAATGCCGCCTGGACTTTGGATGTACATATTGTTTGTAGCAGTCTGAGCTGTTTGATTACTGACGTCATGGTGATTTTTTCCCCCCTTGCACATCTTACTCAGAGTTCCTGAACTCCAAGTTTGGCTGGTTTTATTAATGCACTCCCTGCCCCTACTTCCTTTCCTCTTCCCCAGACCTCTGTTTGTAGCTCTGACTGTTCTGTCCTTGCCCTTGACAGCTCTCTTTCCTGCCCATGATACCCCTCCCCGCCCCCACTCTCTCTTTTCTTTCCCCCTCCCCTGCCTTGCTGTGTTCTCTCTCCCCGAGTTCGGCTCCCCTCCTTCTCCCTCGGCCGCTCCCGCCCCTTCCCTCTGTTCCCTGCAGCTGTTGGGTCTTTGCTGACTGGTGGTTTCTGATTGGTTCTGGCCATTTTCCTGTTAGTGCTTGGGTGCTTTCTGCTCTAGCAGCTAGTGTCCGCTCTGAGCCCCTTCTAATCCTTGTCTGTAAGAACCTCGCTCTTCACTCTCTCCCTTCTTTCCAAAACTGATTGTTTTTCTTTCTTTTATTTGTGTGTGTGTGTTTTAACTGCATGCTCTCAGTCTCATCATTGTTGTATCCCATTCTTTCTTTTTAAATGTGAAATGTTTGTATTATTTGGTGGCTCAAACTCGAGTAAATGGAGTTTCTTTTCCTCACAAAGGAAGATTACCACTATGCAAATCCGAAAAGACATCTCAAGATGTGTTTTGATTCCAGTTCCACCTAAAATTGGTCTCTCCATAACACAGATTTATCACCATCCAAACTTTAATGTAAATCCCCAGAGGCGAAGTAAGACGTTTCTGTTTGGTGTGTTTTGTAATTCTTTTGAAAGCTGGCCTGTTTAATGACCGGACGGCACGGTACACAGTCAGGTTCTGTGGTGACGTTGCACCCTCCTTGCAAGAGCTTTAAGCTGGTTCTGACACTGGGCTGCAGTTTTCTGGCTTCGAAGCTCCATTCGTCTCTTCCTCATCTTTGTAACATCTACTCACCCTAGCACTGAGAATGCTCTAAATTACGCAGTTCTGTAATGAGGGTGGACAGTACCATAAAACAAAAGAAACATAAAAGAACTGAAGAAATAAGGCTTAAGTGCCTAATTTAAAAGCCTTCTGAAAACATTGTTCTTCAATGGATAGACCACATAGTCTAGAAAATTCAGAACGGTCCTGAAGCTGGTCAACATGGGCATCTAAGTTCTGATATCTTTTTTTTTTTTTTTAACTAACCTCAAACAGCAAAATCTTACACAAACATCAAAAGTGCTGAACATGAGAACGGGTGAAATCCACAGATTTATTTTCTTATCTTCCCATAAATCTATTTCCTGACCCATGTGGCAAGCCTCTGTTTTACTAATGAACTTCAAAGTTCACGTGCATGCAGAGTTGTTTCCAATTTACTTTTTTTCCATAATTCAGAGACTTCTCTATTTAAGAGATCTCCAAAGAACTGGGCAAATGTGTCTTTTCTTTGGAGTACTTAGTGGTAAAATAGCCCTAGTTTTCCATTTGGAGACTAAGAAACTGCATTTTACTCTTGTTAGCCTCATTTAATAAACACTTTAATTAAAATATGATATATTAATATTTTATATTGCTATATTGTTGAAATCAATATTCTCTGAAATTTACATTTTATTAAACTGAGTGCTGTGTTACTGGATGAGCAACTCCGTGTTCCCTAACGTGGTCTCCTTTCCCCCTGCCCCTTCTTTCTCCTTTGTATCTTTAGGTGAATAATGCTACAGCACGCGTAATGACCAATAAGAAGATGGTCACACCATATGCAAATGGTAAGAGATTACGCATCATCTTCAGAAGGATTGTCATTTGTTCTTGTATTAATACAGGAACTTTTTATACTCATCAAAGAATCTCAGTTTCAGTCTTAAGGCAGCTTGTTTAATGAACATGGAAGTATTTTCTTTACCTAGGAGAATGGTTTATTTCTGCAAATTAGCTTCTTTTCTTAGAACTAAGCTAAGTTTTTAAGTTATTAAGCTGTAATGGTCTCAGTAAAGTTCATCTGACGCACAGCGTGAACACATTATTTGAGGTTACCTGTTAACCCAATGGGGGATCCCACTAAGGCACCCTCACTTTTAGCTGCTGCAGTCGTTCGTGATATGTTAGGCTTGTCCGTAATAGGTGCCCACCACTGCTCACTTTCACTGCTGACTCCTGCCCGCTCCTGAGCATGAGTGGACTAATTCTTGACCCCTTGCCCTCCTTTTAAAGGTATGCTCTGAGAGAAAAGTCGTGGCGCGCGTGCGCATTTTCTATTTTCTGTCCCGTGACCCCATGCTATATGGTGGATTTCATAAATGTTTCTCATTGAGAAGGAAACATTGTGAATATTTTGCTTAACAAAAACAGAACCCTTCCATCACTCGTCAGTCTAATCTGGACTCACGTTATCTAAATGAGCTGGAACTTAATTTGAATCTGCCGTACAAGCAGCGGTTTTGCCAGCTGTGTTCTATGGGGCCACTTGGGGAGGGTGGAAAGGAAGCCCATGAATGGGGTCTTGAGACCTCCAGCAACTTCTCATTTTCCGTTGTGTACTTCAGCGTTCTGCATAAAATTTTATCTAGAGCCAAATGGGGTGTTCTCTGCTGTTTTGTAAAAGTTCAAATCTACTGCTAGAGTATGACAATATGTGCTGGTGATGTCTTAAATCAAGGATAAGTATCTTAGTCTATTCCATGATGTCTTCAATAGATAGATTTAGCCAAGCTTTTCAAACAGATGGTGCAAATCAGCATAATTTGCATTTATTGGCCTAACAACATTTTCCCTACCCATTTTATCAATGGTACATCATGTGATACCATCACCTCCCCCTTTACCTCTTGATATTTTTTCACTGCCATCACAAAAACAGACGTTTCTGCAATGTTTGTTTGTTTGTTTGTTTGTTTGTTGAGAGAGAGGGAGACACAGAATCCGAGGCAGGCTCCAGGCTCCAGGCTCCGAGCTGTCGGCACAGAGCCTGACGCGGGGCTCAAACTGGTGAACCACGAGATCATGACCTGAGCTAAAGCCAGACACTCAACCAACTGAGCCACCCAGGCGCCCCAGAGTTTCTGCAATTTTGATAATAACCCAATGTAAACAACATAGGAAGGAGAGGCAAAGTGTGTCAGATTTCCTATAAATCCAGGGAAGACAGGGTGGTAGAAAGAGTTGCCAACTGGAATTCGGAAGACGGAAATTCTACTTCTAGATTTGACTCTTCATTTTGTCCTTGGGCCCATCTTTTTTAAAGCTGATTCTGTTTTCATCACTATGAATTGGCAGTCACAGAATTTGAGCCCCTGAAGGCTCTGTAGAAGTCATCCAACCCAACCTTCTTAGTCTGTTATTTAGGAAATTAAGCCCAGAGAAGGATAGTACTTACTTGCGGTCCCAGATGTCGCACCTGTCTTACCTCTCTCTGGGTTTTGTGAAGGTCAAAACTACTTTGTAAATTGTACAGAACTAAAACGTTTCTGAAGTATTATTGACAGCATACCATTATATGCCATTATTAACATGTGTATTATTACTTCCAGGAATGCTTAAATAACAATACCATTGGTAGGAAAGAAAAGAATCATTTTTTGAATATTATTCTAAATTAATATCCAAGCCTTAGCGGAGCCAAACTTTATTTATTTTTTTTAATCTTTATTTATTTTTGAGAGAGAGAGACAGAGTGCAAGTGGGGGAGAAACAGAGAGAGGGAGGCACAGAATCCGAAGCAGGCTCCAGGTTCCGAGCACAGAGCCCGATGCGGGGCTCGAACCCACCAACCATGAGATTATGACCTGAGCCAAAGTCGGATGCCCAACCGACTGAGCCACCCAGGTGTCCCACTGAGCCAAACTTTAGAACCCTGCAGCTGCTTGTGGTTAGAGCTTCTGATAAGAGTGCTCTGTGCCTTCTGGTGAATTCTCAGTCAGCAGTGTAGTTTACGTTGGTTGGAATCACTTGATTTGTCTGACATTGGAGAACATTTGTGTTCTTCCAACTTCAGTAGGATTTGAATCCAGATATTTGCCCAGATAGTTTTTATATGAAATAATGAGGAGACCTCACCATCTATGAGCACATAAAATAACAGAGGATTGGATTGGTTCTGAATGAATGGGTTTTCTCCTAAGTACAGTCTCTCGTCTTTCAGAAAAATAATGGCACATTTTTTTTGCTTATTTATGTGTAAAAATCAATAAATGTCTACTGATTAAAGTGTTCGTATGGGATTCTGTGTACTCTGTAACTCTCGGTGGGCAACAATACTTTTTTTAACACCTGCTACATTTCTATAAATATAAAAAACGGGAATGAAGAAATAAAATTGACATCAAAGCTAATTCCGGGAATACTTCAAAGTTTATAATTGTTTAAGCTAATGTTCAACAGCAATCTAGTATCCGTTTGTTAAAATGGCTGATTAACTTAAGTGTGTTTATTACAAACGGACTTCCCAAGACATGCATGAAGTTGGGGATGTACCTTGAATTTTATCACTGTATGTCTCTTCTTGTTGACTGGCTGAGGTTAACTACAACAAAATCCCAGTAGTAAATCCCAAAGAAAGGGAATTTCAGCTTTACCCAGGTTTCCATCAGTGTGGTATACTTGAACACGGAGTTGAAGATCAGCTCAAATGTGAATTCAAATTTGAATTATAAAGTAACTAGAGTAGTAGACTGTGTTAAGATGGCATATAAGAGAGTGCCATCACAGTGCCCCTTCCCCACTCACACGCTGTCTCGCTGTCTCTTAAAAGTAAATAAACATTAAAAAATAAACAAACAAACTCAGGTGTGGGGGCTCCTGGGTGGCTCAGTCGGTCAGGCGTCTGACTCTCGCTTTTCGGCTCAGGTCATGATCTCGTGGTTTCGTGAGTTCAAGCCCTGGGATTGGGATTCTCACTCTCCCTCTTTCTGCCCCTCTCCCCGTTCGTGCTGTCTCTCTCAAAATAAATAAATAAATAAACTTTACCAAAAAAATACCCTGGTATGGAAGTGTCCTGACCTTCTCACATAACCCCCCAGCTGGCACTCTCCAACGGGCAAAAGTAAATGCAGGGATATCTGAAGCCAGCTTGCACACGCACAGTTGGTCCTTTTCACCGTGCTCCTTACATGGTCTTAAGTGCTCACTGTCCTCTCTTCCGTTTCAGGTTGGAAATTAAGCCCCGTGGTGGGAGCTGTATATGGCCCTGAGTTATATGCAGGTAGTACCATGTTGATTTTTCCATTCGTGCTGTTTAACTGCAAAAACATGTGTTGCTTTTCACGTTGCTCTTCCTTTGTAATCTTTTTGCATTTCTTAATTTTTTTTTTTAACGCAACCAGCCTCCAGCTTTCAAGCAGACGTGTCCTTAGGCAATGATGCAGCAGTGCCCCTATCAGGAAGAGGGAGTATTAACACTTACATTCCTTTAATCAGTAAGTAGCCTATGTTGGCCTGGCGTGGAGTTTGACTGTTGCGAGTAAAGAGTGATGTGTGCTAGTCTTCCCCCCCACCCCCACCCCAGGTAGAGCACATAACTGAAAAGGAGGTGTTCTCGAGAGAGTTCGGTGCTATTACAGTGCCCTGGCCTTGCTCCACCTGTGTTAGAATCTCTCTGACCAGATATTAAGAGCACCGTGGAGCATAAACACTTGGAAAAGGCAGAGGGGGTAAGGCCATGTGAGCAACAGTTTAGTCTGCTCTCGGCAGTAAAGAAAACAAGACATGGGTGTTGACAGAATGGGTTATACGTGTTCTCTGCCAGTCAGTTTTGGGCCCTCAGTAGAACATCGCTCAGAAGCACCTCCAGTCTTCATGATTATTCTCAGTTCCGTTGAAACCTCTGAAGTCCTCCAGACCTGAGCCATTTTCCTCCAGCGAAAGGTAAAATTAAAAAGAGCTCAGTGAACGTGGAATAAATGTCGGTATGTGCTTTCCAGAGGATAGCACATTTAAAATAGGTTTTTAGAAACTGTCTGCCTCCCTGAAGGATACAAGTAGTTTCCCTCTCCCCTGACATTTCTGGGTTAAAACGTTTTGGATAAAAGAATAAAGTGGACTAATGAAATGTCTAAAGATTACTGTGTGCCTTGGAGGTTGGCACCGCGTACACACACAAAAGAATATTCTTACGAAGAAGAATTACTCTATGCACATGATAACGTGTGGAAACAAGATTAGCAATGGGCCGGTTAAAGAGTTTATATCAGTCGATTTCAACTGCCGCCCCCGCCCCCCGCCCCCCCCCCCCCAAGTGAAAAGTCTCTTATTCCGGCACTGGTTCTCGGACCTTCTCGACCTGTTTCTCACCAGCTTGCACTGTAATGCCAGGGCTGGGAAGGAGCAGAGTGCGCTCACTCAAGATTGGTGATGAACAGAGAGAGCATGGCATCATTAGCCTTTGCGTGTCGGGTCTCTCCATTTCTTTCTCGGGAAAGATGTGGTACATATCTTTGAACCTTTGCTGGAATCGGTTCAAAGCCGGTTGTGATTGTAGCCTTGCTGTTGAATGCAAGTTGACATTCCTGTCATATTTTGGGTCTCCCTTTAGTTCCTGGCTTCCCTTACCCGACTGCAGCCACCACGGCGGCCGCCTTCAGAGGAGCCCATCTGAGGGGCAGAGGGCGGACGGTCTATGGGGCAGTCCGAGCGGTACCTCCAACAGCCATTCCCGCCTATCCAGGGTAAGCATTAGATTCCAAAATAAGCAGCTGGACAGAAAAGAATACCATGGCCCTCTCACACCTTCTGGGACGTTGCCGTGCCACATTGTAGAGATTCTCTGAATATTTGCAAATTACTGGATTAGATGGCAAGAACCAAAATATACCATCGTCAGAATGTGACCAAATGCCGATTCATTATATAAATCTTCATTTCGGCCACCTTAAGCCCTCACGGCTTAAGACAGCAGCCAGAACTGTCTTGTGTTTACTAGCAGTGTGTTGGCATGCAGTTCACTCAGCATCGCACGAATGTGGATTAACACTCCTGCAGAGAACCGAAATAGGAGCTCCAGATTGTAGTACAAGACCGCGTCTGCTGTGTTCACCCCCTTGTCACCACCCTGTGTTGGGGCCGAGGCTGCCACGTCGCCCTCCCTTTTGGTTTCACTGCCCGGGTGGTGAACAGCAGAACTAGTTACCCACAATGGATTTGCTTTCTTTGTAGGAGACGGATTAAAAGAGGTTAATTCAAAGATGAACCAAGTCCAATTGAATCCAGGGAGAAAGGGAGAAGTAGGAAGAATTAAACTACAGTTGGCTTCTGAATGATGGTAAAACAGCTGATATAGCGGAGCATCCTTCACCCTTTGATTTTTGTATGGAGGGTGCCTCATGCAGTGGAATGATTCCATAGCAACAAATAAATCCTTTGCTACTGAATGGGGGAGAAGGAGTGAAGGTGACAGGTTTTGTCTCCACGTGTTTCTCGGTGCCAGCCGCAAATGTATATTTTTATACGGAGTCGACTTCTAGAAGTTAGTTGTCCCGAGGACTTTCCTCTCTTCAAAGATGTGACCTTTGTGTTCTCCATCTTTTCTCTGCCTCTGACAGGTTTTTTCCATATTCTCTCCGAGGAGTGAACCTAGCAGCAGGGGGGCCTGTTCATTGCTCCTTAGTTAAAACACAAAGGGAAAGAGCCTTCTCTGTAGGTCCTTTTCTGGCAACAGAATTGGCTTGGAGGTCTACGAACTCAGCATTCGTTCATAGACCGAATGGACGTGCCATTAGCGGTCCTCCATTGCACAGAATTCAGGCATTTTTATTAGACACGTGTGCATGTTGGAATGGACAGGCTCCAAGAGGCGCTGGAAGGGAAGTGCTTTAGAAATAAACTTTTGTTTGCAGCTTATAGATGCTTAAATCCCATGCATCCCATCATCTCCATCCTCTGCCATCACTTGCTTTTAATTTTATTCTTTCTTCTCTCAACTTGAGCTTTGACCTTCAACCTCTGACATCTCTTTAAAGAAGTGAATAAAGATGCAGTATTATTTCATCGAGAGATACTCAAGTCAGACATAAAAACAGACGTTTTGGAAGTTCTACACACCAGGAAAATTGTTCACGAAGCGTCTTCCATTTCAGTCCAGGAGAGTTTACTGTCACGTTTGCAAAGAGCTGCCACTTGCCAGAAACATGGGACTTCTTTATTTTGTAACATTCCCGAGTTTACTTTATGAAACGGTTGGATTTGTTTTAGTCACTGTAGCTCATTTCACTATATTGGCCAAACCTGAGGACCCATTCGCTCCCTACTCTGTGTCAGGATTACGTTCGCTCAAAGATATTTTTATCTTTATGTCTAATCATACCAATCTCTGTGCATTACATTGAACACTGATTTCCCATGTTTTCTTTTTTATTAACTAAACCACCGGTTTACATGGAAGATGGCAAGGAATAAGTCCAGTATTTTATGGGGAATGGCCTAAAATTGCTTTTCAGCTTAGTAAACTAATTTTCATCCTTAATCATTGTGTTCTAGCCTCCTTATGGCATTTGATACAGGGAATATTAGAATTCTTCTAGAATTTAGGTAAATATTCCCAGTGAGTGACGTAACTTAGGGTAAACTGTATTCCTGCTTTTAATGCCACCACTGTTCTGTATCGAAGAGATGTTTGTAATCTTTGCCTGGATCCCCTACTGAAATAGTTGAAGGTTAATTAATCACCACTTGGCCTCAGTGCTTTCCATTCTGTCAGCCTTCTCGTTACGAGCAAATGTCTTTTCTAATAAAATGCAGTTGAGAGGCAGATTACTTTCTAATATCTAACTTTAACTGCAGTTGGAGACGATGAAACCGGATAGGGCTTAGCTAAGTGAGCGTCACAGAGGAATTTAATTTGCCTGTTTTGTAATACAAATGCACAGCACATTTGGGGCATTGCAAAGTGTGACCGTACTGTCCTGTAAACCCAACAAAATGTCATTGTAATAAGTAGAATTCAGAAACTTTCCAGCCACCTGCAAAAAAAAAAAAAAAAAAAAAAAATTATTTCACATTCAAGTTAAAAATATGATTTAAAGACCTCACTTACTAGTTTATTACAACAGAGAAGGTAGTGCTGAAAATTTCCAGCTTGCTTAGTTGAATAAACAGATCTTCTCATTTAGAATATCCAAATCTTGATTTAACACATGCGAAGAAGAAAGTCTTATCTTTTGTCTCTACTTCTGTTCCATGTCTTTTGGTCCCAAAGTAATGTTTTGGGGAAAGTCTATATGCACAAAAATACCTCAAAAGGTTTGAAATCTACGATTATCATAGTTTTAGTGTTGCCCAGGACTTTAAAAACAGAAAACAAAAAAACCCCGCAAATTCATGTATTTTGTTTGATAAAAATTCATTTTTCTGAACAGGAAAATAAACCCTTCTAATTCCTAATCAGCTACTGTTCTCCATTTTATCCTTTTAAATAAAACAGGATGATCCTTGGTCATGCCCAAAACGTCAGTTATCAGTTAATTTTTCAGAGTTCCATGAATATTCTTAACGGTCAAAAAAGAGCCCCTAAAATCTTGCAGTTACTCCTTCCCACTCTGGATTATATTGTTACTATCTGGGATCCCCACTGCACCTTTTCAATTCTCAGACCTTGGACCAATCACCTTAACCTTTAGCTCATTATCTCTGCTTGTGAAAGCAATGCATTGTGGGTATTTTTGGTTGTGTTTTTTTTTTAATTACATTTCTCTGTTTACTTTGGTCAGAATTGATTGACTTGTTTTTCTGAGGTGTTGCATTGGTTCTTAAAATGCTGAATAATAATACTTTGCATGCTCGTGTGATCAGCCAAATCTTACTGCATGTCTAATGTGCAGGGTAAAAAGCAGGTGATGTATGGATATCAGGAAAAACGTACATACTTCTAGAAAACAAAACAAAACGCTAAACCTAATTTTGGGACATACTCTGCCTACAGGTCCTGCCCTAATGGGATTCTTTCGGTTCAGTTTTCTTATGTTAGACCCCCTTTCCCCATACCTCTCCCTCCCCCTCCCCAACACACGCACACGCGCACACACGCACACACGCATACACACACACACACACACACACACATTTTGAAATTCTTTAAAGAAAATTTCCTCCTAGGGCAAGCTTTAAAAAAAAACAAAAACAACAACTCCAGGTATGAGAAGTTGACGTTTCTAATCCAGCAGAGTTCTGATAGTTCTGTCAGGCCCTCTGGGAATGCTTTCATCGTTTTAACCCTCCTTTAATTACCAAGCGTTCAGGTGTGCATTCGAGTGGCGCGCTCCCTTCCCGCCTCGCATGTCCTGGAGCTGTACGACGTGCGCGTGCCCGTGCACGGTCCTCTCGCTGACTCGCTGCGGCCCCCCAGCCCCGGTTACGTATTCATACATCACCTGCCTGTGTAGAGCGCATGTGCATGCTGCCGTCCTCAATAACCGGAATGTGTTTCTGTTCTTTTGTTTTTTTGTTTTTGTTTTTGTGTGGATTTTCTGCAGTGTGGTTTACCAGGACGGATTTTACGGTGCTGACCTCTATGTAAGTACACACACCGGGGCCTTCTCGACCCCATTCCCTGACAAGCCAGCCTTTTTTTTTCTGTTTCTTTGGTTTGGTTTGGTTTTTTGTTTTTGTTTTTGTTTTTTCTTTGTTTTGTTTTGTTTTTTTTTTTACATATAATTTATTTGATTTTTATTTTCTTTTTCCTTGTGGATATATATATATATATATTTATATATTTAAGAATGCAAGCATGCTTCTCTGCCACTGCGCTTGCCCCTGGGTGCAAAAACTAAGCCTTTGGGTTTCCTGGTCATTGCTAGAGTCAGTCTACTGGACATATTCTTTTCCCTTCCCTATACCCACAGATGTTCTGTGATTTATTTGCGAGATGATCAGCAGGTTTAAAGTCTTTTAATACCGTCGTGTCATGTGCATACATAAATAACAGGGTAGTTATATTAGCTTAAACCAACTGTCTCTCTTTTCTGCTTTTCTTCTCATTTCACATCCCTCTTTAGATCATTGGAGCTTTGATTTATGTAGACGGCAGTAAGCTTTCTGAACTATGTGTTTTCCTATTTTCCGTACTTTGAGAGAGCATTATCCTGTGAGAGGGAGGTAAGGAGCTGATGCCAGTGGAAAGCGGGTGATAATGAGAGGCAACCAAACACTCAGTGCTTACAGCCTTTCGCTATCAGAAGGTCCACAGCTACTGGGTCTCTTTTCTTAAGGGCCATCTAGAGGGAAATGAGTGGCATGATTGGCAACCTAGACTCTTCTTACAAACATCCTACTACCATCCAGGGCTTGTTGATTGTACCAGCAATGTTAACATCATCGTTATTGTTATCCATTATTGAAACTGTCTTGTTATAGCTAAAGTTCCACGACTGGCCTGTCACATATTATTTAAAATGTGGACAAGGTGATCTAACTGACAAAGAGTCAAAAGTTTGGAGTTTTGAGGTTTTTTATTAGGACCTCTCCAAATGATCTGTTTCTGAATGCAAGCTTAGTCTAACCACCCAGGTCGTTAAGAAACAATTTCTTAAGAAAAACTTGTCAGGATGAAATTATTCCTTGGGCATGGGTTAGAATTGTCCGGAAGTGCTTTCTCCACCCTTACCTCCCCAAGTCAATAAGGGTACCTTTGTAGCGAACTTTTTGCCACAGATTTCTGCCAGAGACTCTCTGGCAACCAGAAAACTTCAGCGCACTTTCAGAATGTCCTTAGAGACTCTGTGGTGCAGGAAGTAAGGAGGTAACTGGACACACCTGTCCTATGTAGAGTAGACCTTCAAAGTTTGCCTTAGTTTAACAGATGCTTAAAGGAATCTTAGCCACGATTTGGTCCAACCCTCTCACTTCGTAGATCTATTTCTTAAAGAGATGGTGACTTACCCAGATTACATCAGTTATTTATATAACCCAGCACAAAACTCAACTAATCCATATTTCCTTATCAGTGCTTTAATTAAAATCCCCGTCTTTCCTCAGCTGGTTTTCCAGAAGTAACGAAAGATACCTTTTTTTCCTGTGCTCACAGTGAAACTTGAGGCTTGGGGAAATATTCCTACTTTTATACCAGATGACACTTTTCTAAATATACATATTTACATACGTTCTTCGCATGTACATTCTCCCATATACATTAGAATCCATGTTCTCATGAAAGTCATCTTTACGTTATTTAAATTGCTTTCCTGAAATCTGGTCTGTTAGAGCACGCTTTTGCACTGGAGTTATTTTCTTAAGTCAAAGTTTTTGTTTTTTGTTTTTTTTCCTCTGATACCTTTTTTATTTGGGGATTTTTAAAGTATGGCTTATTTCTACCTTAGTAAGATTGCCTACTTCCCCCTTGTTTGAGTGAACCAACCAAATATTTGTTTATAATTCTCTCCTATCTTTAGGTCACAGCATATGATTTTATTAAGAGAGAGATGACTTTTCTGTACTTCTGTTGAGAAAATAAAAATACCCTTGACATTTTTGTTTTAATCTACTAACCGGATCACCTTATGAAACTAAACAAGTAATTCAGCGACCTTGCTGAAATACGTGTTTGGCCAGTGGTGTCTTATTAATGAAAGGAATTAATCACAATGTTACTGTCATTTCTTAGCTCCTATCTTAAAGCAGTCACTTGGAGGAAAAAAGGTGGTCCCTAGTGCTGAAATATTCTCCGACCCCACTAATGAAAAACAAGAATGCATTATGAGGTAACTGTTGAGTGAAGTCTGATACAACTGTAGCTTTGAAAACTTTAGATTCCCTCTTCCATGTGTGAGGGAGCGAGGGATGCTTTTTCTAAAACACACACACACACACACACACACACACAGACACCCATGTTTTACCTAGAGTTTTCCTGTTTCTCTCTGTACATTTCCACCCCCCCTCCCCCACTGCGGAAATCTATCCCTATACGCTGAGTTGTTTCCTCAGAGATACACGTTAGCAATAGGAAGACAGGAGAGTTAATCCAGTACAAGTGCACTGACCCAGAGCTTGAAGAAACATCACGAGGGAAGAGTGCAAGCCGCTGGCTTTAAGTTAGACTAATTTAGGCTATTCATTCAGAGAGATTTTTGTTGTAATCTCTTTCCCCTGTTCTGTTGTTAGTCCGTAACCCCTGCTAGCCATTGGCTTCCTTTCCGTTTCTTTTGTGCCACGTTCCTCTCCAGAACCGATCTAGCAACTGTGGCTGCAGTTTGTAGAAAGCCCCCTCCCCCCCCCCGCCCCGCCCCAGAAGACCTGATCGTGCGTCCTCCCTGCCCCTCTTTTTCTTGACCAGTACAAAAGGCATAGCTCACCCTGATTCACGTTTTAAAGGGATGACCAAACTGCTCCTGATTCTTATCCTGTGAAAAGCATGCTTGCATCCAAAGGAAAGAAAAGGCTGGTGGGCCCCTCAGCGGGCTTTTTTGTATGATTGTTTTCCTTCCACAGCTGTGTTTTTTGAACTGCTCTTCCTGTGTTCTGTTATAGAATAGTCTTACAGGAACCAATCATTAGCGCTAAAATACCTCAGGTAGGAGTGCCAGTGTGACCTGCCAATCAATCAGATTGTGGATTGCAGTGAAAAAATTGAATTATACTAACCATTCCAGCTCCACGTTAGAGATGGGAACAGAGGCTTTTTTGGACAACCGAGACTTGTGAGCGTGTGATCTAAGCCCTGCTATACCTCAGCAGCGCACAGTCAAGTCCCATACGTGACGGCACCGCCTCCAAAATTAAGTGCTCCTGCCCCGTCGCCTCCGTCCACGCCAGGCGTGTGCTCTGCACTGTCCCATCACTGCCACCTCTTTTAGTTTGCCAATCGCATTTGTCCATGGCGTTTAAGCTGGTCTTTTATACTTGGAGATCTTAGCAGTTGAGGACATTTTCCACTGTGAAGGAGACGAGAGAAGGGAGGAAGTTGAGTCTGTCCACGCAGGGCTCCTGAGTCCCCGATTGGGCCCCGGGGTGAGGCCACAATCGTAATTGGACCGTGCTGTTCGCCTCACCTCCAGGTTGCCTAAAAATCTAGACCTGTTGGGGCCGTAAAACTGAAACACGTATTCCCCTCGCCCTCTTTCCTTTCACCTTAAAACAAGGTCAGTGAGTTCATTTGGATAATCATTCACCGTTACGTCTGCTGATAGCTGGATGCTGGGGAGAGAGAACCCCAGGCCGCCTGTCACACTCCGTGTGTGGCCTCCCGGCCGGGTTTGATAAATGAACTAACTTGGGGTATGTGAAATGGTGGCGTGCTTGAGAGGTTTGATTTGTTAAAGATCATCTCTCGTCTACCATTGAAGTGATAAGTGGAAGTTAAGAAGCTGATCATAACCATTTCTTCCCTTAACCCCAATTTTAGAGTAATTATAAAATAAGATTTAAGTACGTGTCTTTAAAACTTTTTCGTATCTACTTTCCAAAGTAGATACAGGTCTCCGTCAAAAACAGCAACAGTATTATCATTATTGTAAGTTTTTAGTACTCATGTCTGTGTTAACACTTAATCAGAGGTGCCCTATTGCCACAGAAGGGTGGCCCCCCCTACCCCCCACCCCCCAGGACCCATCTAGACAGTGTTTCTCGGCTGGAGCCGGGAGGAGGCAAGGGAAGGGAGGAGTTAGAATCGTGTAGGGACAAATGAAGCGATCCCCAGAGGCACAGCAGGTCAACCCAAAGTCAACCCAAGCTCGTGGGGATAGGTCTCTGCTCCCTGTAGCGATTTTAAGCATCACATCTGCCTTTCTCTCCACCCACCCCCACCGCCCTGGCTCAGTAAATCTGTACATCACGTGCAGGGACCAAAGCTTTCATTTTGTCTGCTGGTCTTAAAACACACACTCTTCTCCTCAGTGTCACATAATGTCGCTGTCTTCCAGGTAGAAAGAAGGTGTCTTGACATCACATGCTCACCAAAGTCCTGTTTTCATGTAAATCTAAAACAAAACCAAAACAAAATTCACGGCTAGGTTAAAAACAAGAGAAGGGGAATGTCTGCCAGGATGAGATCCTCCTAATAGACAACGCAGATACGGGAGGGCAGGATCTGTAGAGCCCTTCCATTCTGTTCTGGTTAAAACAGAACTGTGCAGGAGCGTCCTGTGGTCAGTGTGGCAACATTATAAAGTTAATTAAACGCTAAAGCTGATTCAGAGTGGAGTAGAGAATCCCTAGCAGGTGATGGTGAACCCTGGAGAGCTGAGACATGAACATCAAAAGGATCTTCAAGGTAACCGCATTGTCCTGGGAAAGAGCTGGAAGTTGAAGGCAGGGATGTCTTACGGATATGTGGAAAGCTAGAACATTCAGCACAGGCGCTATGGCAGAAGAACTCTGGGTCAGAGTGGATGGGTGCTGACGGAGGGCCGGCGAGTGCTGCGGGTCAGGACTGGACCATGCGGTCAGGGTCAGGAAGGGTGAATAGGGGAGCGATGTAGCTAGCGTCGGGCCACCCCTATTGGGAACATTCTGGAGTCCTTCATAACGAATCATAAAGGAGTGAGAAAGTGAGCCTTTTAACGGGGCATGTGTATGTTTGCATCAGGCTCAGCCCATGCCAAATGTATCCAGCTCTCAGGGTTCCAAAAAGCAGTCCATGTGTGCCCTCCTACATTAGGGTGTGCTGTGGCCATGCTAATCCCCATTTTTTGTTTTATTTCAAATCACACACAGATAGAGTCTGCAAACTGCTTCAGATCCAACAGGTCTGATTGTGTGTAAATACATATGTCCTTTTTAATTTTTATTAATGGTTGCTTCAGTTTTGCATCAGTGCATGGTTAAAAGCAATACACATCAGCTATTTCATGACTTCATATCTCCAAATGAATTATTTCTCCTCTTTTTTTTTTTTTTT